AATCAATCAATCATCCCATACATCATATCCAAACCCATCATTCATCTCAGGAAGCCCAGAAACAGTGCTTCAATCTGACATTATTATATAAACACTAGGAGGCCTTTATAGCTATATAATTATCTTTAAGAAAAGAGAATAAGCTCTAGAGCTTTAGCACACTTAATTTAATACAGAATAGCAGCGTCTGCTAGCATTCTGTATATCTAATGCTTATATAGTGTCTAGAGCTTAAAGATCTAATTACTAAGTTTATCTAAAAGTAGCGCAGTACAGATAACAACACTAAAGACTTTAACATACCTAGCAACATAGCTTTTTAAAAGATTATTAGTAAAAAAGACTAAAAGAAAGTTAAACACCTTACTAAGTTTTTTAAAGTTTTTTATTAAATAATAAAATAGCTAGAAGGTAATAGTAAGCATAGTTCTCTATAAATGTCTATTATTAATATGTAAGTGCTATATAATAAGCTGTTATAGATAAAAAAGAAACTTTTTTTTAAGCCTAATAATAGTTACTTTAAAAATAGTGTCTTCTTTAGACTTAAAAAAATTAACATATATTTCTAAAAAATAGTTATTAATTTTTTTATTTTTTACTTAGTAATTACTACTATACTTAACTTATAACTTTATATACTTTAGTTTAAGAACTACTAGTGTTATTACTAATCCTAGTACTAGAAGGTAGAGACCTTAATAAAGGTTGTTTTCTAGTGTTATATTAATACTAAAGAAGATAAGAAAGTTAATATAGATTCTTTTTAGTAAAAGCTTCTAGTAATAAGCTCTTACAACTTTTATTACTAAAAGGCTTTTATAGTTAACACTTCTCTTCTTACTAAAGCCTAGAGTTATAAGAAAGCTTAGAAAATAATAAAGTTATAGTAATACTTTAACACTTATATAAAAAACTTTTAAGACACTAAGGTAAAAAATAGCTATTTTTTATAGGCTAGCCCTCTTACTTAGTAGCTTAAAGTAGGTTAAAAACAGTATTTTACACTATTTAAAATTGCTCTTAACTTCCTTACTATACCCTCTACTAGCTGCGACTGCGAGAGAGCCTTTAGTAGAGGCTAGCGTATAGTTACAATTAATAAAGGTTCTTTCTTTAGGGCTACTATTAAGGCGCTTTAATTACAGAAGAATTAGCTATATTATTAAGTTATAAAGAGTAACTTAATTAAGCTTATAAACCTTATTTAGAAGCAGCTAGTTACTATACTATAAAACGTTAATAGCAGCAAGTAAGATAAAATGTTAAAAAGTATAAGGATTTTAGTGTGTTTTAGTTTAGCAGTGAAACAGACAGCTAAGTTGCCTAGGCTGTACAAACGTAGCAGGAAAGTGAGACGTTGACGTCTGTTGATTACTACGTTTTGTTTCGTTTCGTTCGGTTGAGAGCGTTGGGAAGAGGTCGCAGAAGTAATCACTATTGATGTGGCACGCGACCTTGCCTTTGATCGGGAGGAAGTGTTAGAGGAATCTTTAGAGGCTCTAGAAATCTGCTCTAGCCTCGTCACCATCACAACAGGCAATGGAGACGGTAGTCTGGCGTCAACAAGGCAAGTCGCTGCGCTTGCGCACTAGTATTTCAAGGAGTGCCTTGTCTCAGACAGTATCCAGAGGCTAGGCAGGATTCAGGGTGCGGCGTGCCACAGTATCATAGCTAAAGCCTGCCTTGGGTATCTTGACCAGTTCCAAAAGTCACACCATATGGTTGGCGGGGTCTTGGAAAAGTTCAAGCCAGCACGATACTCAGCGGAGTTCTGGGCAAGCGATACTTAAAGGACAGGAGACTGAGTAGCCGAAACGAGCTAAGCTGCAATGTATTTGCCGATAACAGGCATTACTGCGTATGTGAATTGGATCCGACTAGATAGACCCTGGGACAAGCTCGATTTCCGAAAGGTAGTGAGGAACATACTGAACCCGCTGTACTATGTAGCACTCTTAGGTCTAGAAGGAGTAGCAAAGCTGCTGCTCGGCAAGGACGTCAACGTCAACGCGCGGGGTGGAAGATGCAGCAATGCACTCCAGGTAGCTTCATATCAAGGCCACAAGCAGATTGTGAAGCTGCTGCTTGACAAGAGCGCCAACGTTAACGCGCAGGGTGGAGGCTACGGCAACGCAATCCGGGCAGCTTCATTAGAAGGCCACGAGCAGATTGTAAGCCGCTGCTCGACAAGGGCGCAACCTGACCTTTTCAGGATAGTATGTCCCTCGCACGTTAATCAGCATTTCTAAATCCGCTTAACATGAAGTTCAAAAATGGTGGTTAATGCCTGCTAGTCTATGGTATGTAACTGTAATTAAAATGATTTGTGGCAGAAAACTTGCTACCACAAGCAGGGAGGTGGCCGACCCACCCAGACGTGACCTTGTGAGGTGGCGATTCTGTAGGCGTTCTTAGGGAGTTGACCGGAAGATTGGCAAAGGGTGAATTGGGATCGCAAGGCTGCGGGGCAAGGGTCGCTCCGCTTGCCAATACCTTTACATAGCCACGGGCTCAACAGCCGTCGTAAGTATTTTATATCAGAATAACGTTAATTAATTAACGTCACTCCCTACGTGCCGAGAAATCCCCCGTGCCGAGATGAACCTATTAGATTGGCATGGCGAGATGAGCTACTGGGAGCTTGACAGATTATCCACGATGCTAGCCGGTCGGGAGTCTTGTTGGATTCGGGGTTGGAGCAGAATTCTTGCTACCTGCGCGTTTCGAAAAGTCCATGTGGGCAGTAGTCGCACTACTGGGTATCTTGAAAGCTGGAGCTGCCTTTTTGCTTCTTGATCCCTCCCTGCCGGTTCAGCGACGGGCTACCATCATTGATAAACACTGGAGCAAGACTGTTTTATCCTCGAATGCATGCTTCAAGATCGTTGCAGATTATGCGGAAAAGACCACAGTTGTCGGGACTGAGTTCTTGACGGATCTGAGTCATCGCCCTCATCGGAAATTGTATGAAATCAGCCCTGAGTCGCTCAAGTATGTGGTCTTCACATTAGGTAGCACGGGAACGCCGAAAGGTACGATGATCACTCACCAAAATTTCGCCTCAGCGATGTTCTACAAAGCGGAATCTTACAGTCTTGATAGAACGCCAAGGATCTACGAGTTTTCCTCTTATAGATTCATTGTTTCCATTGTAAATATTTTCAACGCTCTATGGTCAGGCGCTCGTATTTATATACCGCGCGAAGAGGACTAACGCAATAGGCTCGTTGAGAGTATTACCTCCCTGCGTGCCAACATCATACACCTTACGCCTTTTATAGCAAAGCTACTAAGCCCAGGAGAGATTCCCAGCATCCGTACAGTGGTTTTCTCAGAAGAAGGGCTTCATGCCGATGATCTTAGGAAACGGTGGGGAAAGGTCTATGTCTTGAATGTCTATGGTCAGTTAGAGTGTGCCCCAAGGGTAGCAATCAAGGACAACGCAACTACACCGGCAGAGGCTACAAGGATAAGAATAGGCTTAGGGCAAAGAACGTGGATAGTGGACCCTCAGAATTATAATAGACTTGTGCTAATTAGTTGTGTAGGAGAGTTACTCTTAGAGGCCACAGGTAGGACGTGGGTATCTTGCAGATCCGAAGAACACTACAGCCTCATTTGTTGAAGATCCAGTGTGGCTGGCCTCAGATCCTCCAGAGGGCCGAGGAAGGTCTGGTCAGTATTCCCTCGACATCACAAAATAAACTTCTTCCACCTTTCGAGATACGAACCCCAGTGGGGGGATATAGGAATGAAGGGGACTGGGATTTGCCCACTATTATTGAATTGGCTCTATGGATGTTTAACGCGTGAGATATATCAGAACGTCTCCAGACATATACAAGCACAGTTTGCATGAGAGTTGTTCCGATGGTACTAAAGTTCGAAACGAAAAGCGGATGCCTTGCCCGATACTCTTCACTGCTTACTAAATACGTTGCCTGCCATAGATACTCTCACTAAAGCTGAATATTCTTGATAGATCTAAAGTTTGGTAATGCGAGGATCCCCCAGTCCGAAGCATTTAATCGTCTTCTTCGCCATGTATTTATTTTCATCCTCCATCATTCGTGCATTGACCTCAGGCTCTGCATACTTGGCCTGGAATCGCATCGCATGCGCGTCGTCCTCGAACGTCATGATAGTTATTGAATTGAACTCGACACCCCCCAGTACTCCATATAGAATGAGGGGGGTAAATTCTGGGGCTCTCGAAATCCGCTTGATGTAGTATCGCGCATGGGTGGAAGGGAATGCATTTCCAACCCATTCCTTGAGGAGTGGGGTGTGAACGCATCGTAATGGTTGGCGAATCGTTCGGGTATCAAGCCTAGTTTGCGCATCTCGAAGGCTGTAATAACGAATGGTATATTGAATGATAATTGGGCAGTGTAATCTTTAAGTGTTAGGTCTATCATGGTGGGTGTGAGGGGGGACTTGACAGGGAGGATGGCACAATCAGTAGAAATGCGCTCCGTGGTCAAGTCCCAAGACTGGAGTATGATACCCCGCATAGGTGCCGCAAACCTATGTCTGCGGACGAACTATAGCGCATCCCGCGCCGTTAACTAGCATAACCCGAATAGTAGCGTCAGACAAGATACCCTAGTGTTTTGAAATAAACCCTTTTCCGTAACCGTAAGATCAATGCCCAGTATATGTGAGAGCTACGGGCACTCGGAGTTCGTTCAGACCTTCAAAGAATACTAGTTCTGACCTCTTAATTCACCAAGAGCAGAGTAATTACTTGCTCCAACATGGCACTCACGCAGGTTGCTGTTATTTTTCTCGGCTTCATTTCAGGCATTGGTACGCACTTCGGCCTGTTCGTTCATGAGCAATGGGACGTTTAATCCCCCACTATAATGTAGATACACGTCGCTACCTTCGTCTTGATTCTCGTACTCATTCGCTACGGGATCTCACTCTGCTCGAGCTACTTATTTCCCCCTTTTACCAGTATTGCCATTTACCGATTCTTCTTCAATAGGCTCACACAAGCTGGTTTTGACGGCCCAAGGCTGGCCAGAGTTTCAAAGCTTTGGCATATATGGAAGTGTCGATGGTCCCAGAACCATCTTGTATTGGATCGATTATATCACCAATATGGTGACTTTTTCCGAACCGGCAGGTTTGCAAAGAGCCTTCCCGTGGGTAGCATCTTCGACTAACTTGATATCAGGGCCAAGTGAAATAACCGCATTTGATCCTCAAGTCTTCTTGACTATAGATGGGCCGCACACGAACTGCGTCAAATCCGACTTCTACCATCTTCTTCATTATTCTAATTTAGATTCATAGCTAGTAATTGCTTTTACATATAACTAGTAGATAAGCGTTTAATTAAAACATAATACTATTTACTACTTTGTATAAGAAAGATACCTAGATAGTAAATTCTTAATCTACTATATTACATGCTAAGACAACTTATAGAATGTATACAGAGGCTCTACTAGGACTAGTGTTAGAACACTTTACTAGTTGTGACGGTGCATCACGCCACATCCTGGAGGCTAGTTCTCTCTTCAGGCCTAGGCCTTGGAAGGGGTATATCTTCCTTCGAAGCAGCACCCCTGCTCCTCAGTTCAATCTATTTGAGTTAAACCACCTCTTGCTTGTAGCTTGAGCATGCCGATCGTGACACTAGTTAGATGGGGTGTGTGAGAGCTATCGACCAGGAAGCACAAGGCACAGAGAGGGAATGCAGGATAGAGGGTGTATGGCAGAGCCACAGAGAGAGAGAGAGTAAACTTTAGGGTCAGATGCAGAGGCACGGAGGCCGAGGAGCCTATATACCCCGTGCCAAGCCCCTAGGGTACTCAGGGTTGGATAGCTGTAACATAACCGTGACAGAGACAGAGTTTTAGAATAGCAGGTATGCCCAGGAGGATGTAGGCAAGCAGGATAGATTAAAGAGATAGAAACAGTGAAAGATATTTACACCAACTAATGTAGAAGCTATTAGGTAGTGGGGTATATAGCGGGAGCTGCGCTCCTCATCTAATCGATTAACTTAACAACCAACTTTTATCAACACTGTTGATAACTCTTCCGGTATCGGGATTTTTATTTTCCGAGCATCATCGCAAAGCACAGCCACGGGCCTGGTTGCCACACAAAGTAAACTACGCGGCAATGGTTACGTAATATGTTAGGTAATGGCCGGCTTGCCCCAGCCAAGGTACCGATCAGCGTGGCGACGCGGCATGGCAAGGCTAACGACGACGTTCTAGCATTATGACAATGTTCTTAGGCTTGGATGAAACGTTTGTTAGTACCATGAGCAGTAGAAGAATAGTGTTGGTGCTGTAGTGAAGGAATGCTGGGAACCGTAATCAGCAGACCCGTTGTAAGTTAGGCGTAAGGGCAATGATGCAAAAGGTAATTTTCAACATGGAGGGGTCTTAGGTGTTTGGGAGTAGCTATAGTTTGCTGCTTCTATAGAATGTTAGTCGCTATAGACGTAGGCGTAGATTTTAAGCTGCTTGAAGTGGAGGTACCCCCATATTTCTCGGTACGGGGGGTTTCTCGTCACGAAGGGAAAGTTATTCTGCACTAGCCAGAATTGGTAATTGCTTTGATTGGAGGTACCGACTGGGATAGCAACCTTGAAATACTGGACACATAAGACTAGTAATGACTTCTTATCGTTGTAGTGAGGGTTTAAGGCTTAGATAAGAATGTTTATAAGTATTATAGAGTAGTGTCAGCTGAACAGTGGTGCTGTAGTAAACAAGCTTTATTATGCTAAAGAATAAGGCTCTCTATAACTTAGGCGCGAAGGCGACCATGCGAATGTAATTTTTTAGGGACGAAGGTTCCTACGTATTTCAAAATAACCATAGCACACTATGCAAATATAATTCTAGTAAGGGTCCGAGTATGCACTGATTTATAGTCGCTGGAGGTCAAAGTACCCCTCAATTTTCCGGCACAGGTGGTTTTCCGCCACCCATGGAGGGACGTTAGGCGAAAGCCCATTGTTCGCCGTTTGTCTTACACCAACTTTTTCATTCATCATTCAACCTCTTTTCGCTTCACCTCTCACCCTCCTGCTTAGGATACAAAGTATACTACGAAAGTCTGCTCGTTTTACATCGCGGGCGACGCTTTACCGACTTTTTCTAGTCCACGTTTTCCTCACCCACCTATCGATAAGGCCTTAGCGGGGCAAGCCGAACAGTGATCCAACACTGAATTTTCCACCCTCCTTCCCTGGACACCTCCCACCGCCTTCGCACCGCCCTCCCACCGCCCTCTCACCCTCACGTATCGCACAACATGGTGTCCGCATCCAAAGCCGCCCGCCAGGCCAAGCGTGCCGCCGAGGGGAAAGAGCCCAAGAAGACGGCTGCGTCCAAGGTGTCATCCCGGGTGGCCTCGAAGAATGCCTCCAAGGCATCATCGGTCAACGGGGATGAAGACGCTCCGCTCGAGGATCTCGAGATCAACGAGGAGGTAAAGAAGCTAACTCTGCAGGAAGACAAGCACGGGTTGTCGGATCGAGTCACGACCGGTGTGCTGGCCTCGTTGGAAGCCAGCCGCGACGTCAAGATCAATTCCGCGTCCCTCGTGTTCCACGGCCGAGTCCTGTTCAACGACACCACCATCGAGGTCAACTACGGCCGTCGATACGGGCTGTTGGGCGAGAACGGATGCGGCAAGTCCACGTTCCTCAAGGCTATCGATAAGCGCGAGTTCCCCTTCCCAGAGCACATCGACATCTACCTATTGAACGAGGGTGCCCCCCTCTCGGAACTTGGCGCTCTGGAGTGGGTCGTCAGAGAGGCGGAGAATGAGCTGGCCCGCTTGGAGAAGCTGGCTGAGGATATTCTCGAGAGGGATGGCCCTGAGAGCCCCCTGTTGGAGGAGCTCTACGAGGTTTGTACAGCCCACGCGTGTCTTGGGCGGCAAAGCTAAAGGTTTATAGCGACAAGAAAGCATGGACCCCTCGACATTCCACACTCGCGCTTCCCTCATTCTCACCGGTCTCGGCTTCAACAAGAAGACCATCAACAAGAAGACTAAGGACATGTCTGGTGGTTGGCGAATGCGAGTTGCGCTTGGCAAGGCTCTGTTTGTCAAGCCATCTCTCCTCCTTCTTGATGATCCGACTGCCCATTTGGATTTGGAGGCCTGTGTGTGGCTGGAGGAATACATGAAGAAGTGGGATCGTACGCTCATCCTCGTTTCGCACTCCATGGACTTCTTGAACGGCGTTTGTACGAACATGATCGACATGCGCATGAAGCAGCTCCTGTACTATGGCGGCAACTACGATTCCTACATTAAGACCCGGACGGAACAGGAAACCAACCAGCAAAAGGCGTACGAGAAGCAGCAAGACGAGATCAAGCACATCAAGAAGTTCATTGCTTCCGCTGGAACGTACGCCAACTTAGTCCGACAGGCCAAGTCTCGCCAGAAAATTCTGGACAAGATGGAGGCAGACGGGTTCATTGAGCCCGTCGCCACGGACAGAGTCTTCACCTTCCGTTTCGCCGATGTTGAGAAATTGCCGCCTCCAGTGCTTGCGCTTGACAACGTTACTTTCTCCTACTCCGGAAGCCCTGAGGATAATCTGTATGAAAACCTAGACTTCGGTGTTGACATGGACTCGCGTACTGCTCTTGTCGGACCCAACGGTGTCGGAAAATCGACTTTGCTCCGTATATTCACTGGAAAGCTATCCCCAACTTCCGGATCAGTCTCTCGCCACACTCACTTGAAGCTGGGAATGTACAGCCAGCACTCGGCTGAGCAGCTCGATCTTACCAAGTCAGCTCTCGACTTTGTGCGCGACAAGTACTCCAGCCAGAGTCAGGATTACCAGTACTGGAGACAGCAGCTCGGTCGCTATGGCTTGAGCGGTGAGGCGCAGACGGCCAAGATGGCTACCCTGTCCGAAGGCCAGAAGAGCAGAATTGTATTCGCGCTATTGGCTATCGAAGGCCCGAACATGTTGCTCCTGGATGAACCTACGAATGGTCTAGATATTCCTACGATTGACAGCTTGGCGGATGCCATCAACGCTTTTAGCGGTGGCGTTGTGGTTGTTTCTCACGACTTCAGGTATGTTCCCTTGCATGTTGACTGATTGAGTATGGCCGCTAAAGTCTGCGTAGATTGCTAGACAAGATTGCCAAAGACATCATGGTGTGCGAGAACAAGACGGTTCGACGATGGGACGGAAGCATTGGAGATTACAAGAAGCATCTCCGCAAGAAGATGGTGTCTGCTGGTGCGGTGTAAGCAGACCGGCGAACTTGGTGCATAAATTGCATGCGCCTCCCCCCGGACCAGTGGGACGTCCGTTCAAACCAAAAGTCGAAGGATTTGACGCAGAATGGTGGGTCATTCTGCGGGGCACGACGTGCGGCGTCCCACGGCCTGCTTCCAGGTTTGGGGCGGTTGTTGGGTGTGTGGAAGAGGCATCTGGATTCTGCGTTTACTGATGCATTGGGTTCTTAGAGGAGTTCATAGATTGTGGGTCATGAATAAAATGAAATGCCGTAGAACAGGAGACGATGTGAACCATCGACCACAAATGAGACTACATTTGGAATGATGTGCGGAAGTCTCCCGGGGAGCGATGGGAGCGATGGGAGTGATGGGAGCCAAAGGAGGCACGTGCTGAACCGTGGCAATGACGACCTACCGTGCCACCCCCGCGAGCTTGACCTTATCCATTGACCTCAGATGCGAATGTCCACCTCCACACCACCACAGCAAAATATTCCACATTCGTTTAGACAACCCGGTCCTAGACGCTGCTGCAGCTGGGGCATATATCGCCATCAATCTAGCGATTGAATTAGAGAGCCAATACCTACTATGGCAGAACTCACCACGACAAAGCTCAATGCTGAATCACACCTCCTTCTCGTACGTCACCCACTCACTCACAACTCCCTGCACACCACATCACCCTTCTCCCTCTCTCCGTCTCTCCGTCTCTCCGTCTCTCCGTCTCTCCGTCTCTCCGCCTGTCCCTCTCTCTCACTCTCCCTTCCTATCTAACTTAAGCCGGATATCCAGGACCAACCCCTCCTCCGCATGCCCTACGAGCTCTCCCGCCGCAACTTCAAAACCGCGCAACGCTACCTCGAACGCGAGCGCGAAACGCTCCTCGCCTCCTTGCAGACGGCAGCGCGGGAGTCGGCGAAATCCAGCTCCCCAAGCACCACGCTCGAATCCCTCGATACCATGCTCTCCCGTCTCCAGTCGCTGAAACGCAAGCTAGAAGCACTGCATGCCGAAGAAATGAAAATGCACGCGAGTAGTAAAGCGCGGCTGAACCATCTGCAGGACTTGTACGACGTGGGGAGTCTTGTGGACGTCAAGTATGATGAATGGAGTCGGACGAGATTGTCGCGGCTTTTGGTGGACTATTTGTTGCGCTCTGGGTATAGTAAATCTGCGGCGTATCTGGCGGCGGAGAAGGGGATAGATGAGTTGGTCGATGTCGAGGCTTTTGTGCAGTGTCATAAGATCGAGCGATCGCTGCGGGAGGCGCATCGGACGAATGAAGCGTTGGTGTGGTGTCAGGAGCATAAGCCGAGTTTGAAGAAGGTGGGGAGTCAGCTTGAGTTTGAGTTGCGGTTGCAGCAGTATATTGAGTTGGTCAGGCAGGGACACGAGAGTTTCGAAGGGGGTGGAGGTGGTGGGGCAGGGACGGGAAAGTTGGTGGAAGCGAGAGTACATGCGAAGAAGTATTTGAGTGGGAATGGGGATATGGAGTTGATGGGCAAGGCGGCGGGGTTGTTGGCTTATAGGCCTTGGGATGAGGTGGAGCCTTATGCGGTAAGTCTGTCTGTCTAGTTACTCCCTTGCATGCTCCGTCATATACATAAGCATCTTGCTAACATTTGTCTAGTCGCTCTACGCAAAGTCCCGCTGGGAACACTTAGCCCACCTCTTCCTTTCCACACACCACACTCTGTACTCCCTCCCGCCGCGCCCCCTCCTTCACATTGCCCTTTCGGCCGGTCTCTCCGCCCTCAAAACCCCGTCCTGCCACTCCGCATACACATCCTCGTCTGCCAACGCCAGCTCCAGCACCACAACCGTGTGCCCTATTTGCTCTACCGAACTCAACGAGCTCGCCAGAAACGTCCCGTATGCACACCATACTAAGAGTATCGTAGAAAACGATCCAGTGGTTCTTCCCAACGGGCGGATTTATGGACGAGAGCGGTTGACGAGTTATAATGATAAAGTCGGGACTGAGAAGGGTTGGGTTAGGGATCCCGTGGGCGGTGTGAATGGGGATCGGTGGAAGGAGGGGGAGGTGAAGAAGGTATTTATTTCGTGATCGCTTGGAGTTGTTGCGGATGCGGCATTGGCATGGGTTGCTAGGATATTGTACACACAGAAACAATGAGGTTTACTCTGCATGCATAGCGAGGCGTAAATGCGACGGTCGAATCGGCAGACGGATTGGTTTAGAACAAATCCCGCCCGGGAAGCTGGAGGGATATTGATTCGTTGAGAATAAGCGGCGTCCTATAGCTCCGTATAAATCAACATCAGCTCTTCAATCATCGTCACTACTTCCACTGTCACCGCTGCCCTCCCTAGCTCTCTTCCTCCCCTTCTTCTGCTTCTTAGGACTCCGTCCGTCTTCACCTTCACCGTCCTCATCTTTAATCCCCACCTTCTCAAAAACATACATCCTTGCCTCTCTATCCTCCCCCTTCCACCCTCCCCCTCCGTCAATCGCACCTAACGTCCTAACATGGCGATATCCGGGATACCGTTCCCAGTCAAACCTAAAGCTCTCCACAACCTTTAATCCAGTATGTCGTGCCAAGTCGCGAATATTCCAGAGTGTATACGGTTCGCCTTCAAACAACGTAACTATGATCTTGCCACCGGTGCGGAGGAATTCCTTCTCCTCGCCGGCGCTGGCGGTCTTAGATTTAGCACCGAGCATCGCAGCAGAAGCCCCACCTCCAGCAGAAGCTGCGTCTCCAGCACCAAGCTTTTGAGAGCGCTGTTTCTCGACGGCTAGTTTTCTCCTTTCCCTCACTATGCCGGTCTCCAAGCACGAACGCAAGAATGCAACGAGCAGCGCTTGGTTCGCGCGGACCTGCCGGTTCACATCCCGCGATAACCCGCCTGTATGCGGGAACTGGAAGGCGATGATATCATACGGGGAGTGTGCAGTGGGTTTTAGGCATTTGTACGTCGACAGTTTCGTTGCGTCGATGGTGTAGTGGAATGGGACTGGGGGGGTGAGGGCGGTGAGCTCGCTATGGATGGTGGGGAAGGTGGGATATCTGTTTGTGTGTTGTTAGTGCTGGCCTTGCGCGTTTCTTTGAGAACGGGTTGATAATGCACGTGTATACGCATAGATACGAGATGGGTCAAGATGTACTTCTTTCGGAGCTCGTCTTCGCTGTCGAAGCTGGTGGCTGTGACGTTCGCGCACCCATGCTCGACTACTAGACTCCGTGTAAAGCTGAAATCGCCTTCGCCGACGAGGAGAATGTTGTCGTATTCTCCGAATGGTATGGGGTGTTGTTGTTGCGACGCTTGGGTGTGTGGGGGAGGCTTTTGCGCTTTTGCGTTTGCTTTCTGCTTCTTTTGTTGCGCGGTTTGCAGTGGTTTGCTGGAATTGGTGGTGGGTTGGGGCTTGAGTTTGGAGGCTTTCTTGTGGTGCTCCCGTTTTGCTTCGCGGCGGGCGCGTTTGGTTTTATTCTTCGACATTTATTCTTCGAGAATCGGAAAAAGGCCTTTAGTCTGGGGTGAACAATGAATTGTGGGGAACATGTTCTCGAAGGTTGGGGGTTCTTGCGGGGGACAAGGATGGAGTGTATTGGGAGCTTGGACCACCATCCACATTTGCGCACAAATCCCAGTCCACTTTCCGCACCTTGCACATGCAAGTAACCGTCGCTATAATCGATGCAGATTCCGCATTGCAGGTGCTCTAAATGACTAAATGTACAATGCAAACAGGACTAGCAGCCAAAATCCCTTCGATCAGCATCACATTGCATCGACAGACAGTTTGTTCAAAATCCCGGTAACCACTCGCTTCTAAAGCATAGAGATCAACCCAGAAAGCATCCTTCTATTTCACCCGCCGGTAGTGGCGACGACATTATATCAAGTCCTGCTTTACAAATTGATCATACAGAGTCTTGCCCAGAGAGGCGGGGCTGCGCTCAACGATGACGCCCGCGGCTTCCAGGGCGTTGATCTTGGAGTGGGCGTCGCCTTTGCCGCCGCTGACGATGGCACCTAGGAACGTTAACATCTTGCAGCGTATATATTTGGAAAATAATACATACCAGCGTGGCCCATTCTCCTACCTGGCGGCGCAGAAATACCAGCAATGAAACTAACAACAGGCTTGTTCTGCGTGTTGTTAGCCTTCAGAAAATCCGCCGCATCTTCCTCTGCCGAGCCACCGATCTCGCCAATCATGATAATGCCGTCGGTCTCTTCATCCTGCAAGAACACTTTCAGGCAGTCGATGAAGTTGGTGCCAGAGAAGGGGTCGCCTCCGATACCGACGACGAGCGACTGTCCAAGTCCGGCTTGGGTCGTCTGGTTGACGGCCTCGTAGGTCAGAGTGCCGGAGCGGGAGACAATGCCGACGCGACCGCGCTTGTGGATGAAGCCGGGCATGATTCCGATTTTGCATTGGCCCTGTCGAATAATTAGAACAATTGAAAGGTATACATGAAGATTGTGTATGCATACTGGAGCAATGATACCGGGGCAGTTGGGGCCAACCATGCGGGTCTTGCTCTGCGACTTGAGCATATCCGTGATGCGAACCATATCTGAAGCCGTCAGTATCCATTGGGTCCACTACTCTATACAAATGGCTCATACCATGTTGTGGGATACCTTCCGTAATCCTATAACCCATTGTAAGCTTCAAGTGTATACAAGAGGGTACATGCACACCTACGTCACAACCAGCGGTACCTCCGCACTAATCGCTTCCTCGATGCTCTTTGCCGCAAGCGGTGGGCTATATGGTCGTTAGCGCCTGCGCAATGTTTTCAGAGGCAATTATGGGTATCCGTACGGCACGAAGATGGCAGATGCAGTGGCTCCAGTTTCTTTGATCGCTTCGTCTACGGTCGCAAATACTGGCTTGCCGAGATGCTGTGTGCCCGCCTTCTTGGGGTTCGTGCCACCGACAACATTGGTGCCTGAATTGGTGTGTCAACGGGGCTCTGAGATATTATCTACACGGGGTGTTCGGGCGGGGCGCATACCGTACTCGATGGCTTGCTGGGCATGGAATCTACCAATCTATCAGCGCTCTACTCCTCCCAACAGTCGCTCTCTAGGCAGCTACTCACGTCCCCTGCCTTCCTGTAAACCCCTGATAGAGAACCTTAGTGTCGCCATTGATGCGGAGGTTCTTGATAGTCTCGGCATATTGGGAAGACCCCGTCGAATAGCCCTGCCGACAAGCGGCCTTTCGCAGAGCGGAGCTCAGAGGTCGTCGGAAGGCCTGCATCGTGACAATCTAGCTGCCACGAAAGCAGATCTGGAGAGAGCGAAATGAACGAATTGGGCCGGTTGTGGATGGTTGAGTGGAGGTGGAAGTGCGAGACACACCCGGTTCTACTTCGGAACGGAACTGGTTCGCCAATCTAAAATCTTTTTGGTGGCAGGGATATGATTGGGAAACCTGGGTTCCGAAAATACCGCGTTAGATGCGGATGGATGATTTGAGAGTGAATACTTCCCCTTTGCAGTCCTCCGGCAACGGCCTATTGAGATGCGTCAGTCCACGTGATCGCGGAGTTTCGGAAAGTCACATGAGCGGGGCATTCACCGCCAAGAGCCTTAGGTACGTCCTCAAGCGAATGCACTCAAAAATCTGTGGAAGAAGCTCTGGATGGTAAGCCATCTAATATTGCCATCTGAGGGCTCGAACATAGGCATATCTGCGTAGTAAGCATCATGACAATAGGTCCAGAAATTAAAAAGTAGTGGTGGAGTGAGCATTCGAATCCTTGAGCAGTCCCTTCCTAAATGATAGGAAGCAAGGGGCATGCACACTTCCATGCGACAAAGCCTAGTAAGTGCGACATACATGAACAAAAAAAATAGAAAATTCGAGAAAGAAAGCACTTCGCTCCATCATAAACAACGGCCTTAACATCTCCAGCAGTGGAGCCCTCTTCCTCTCATGAAAGCAGTGCTCTACCGCGCACTCTCAGGCCCCCTTAGGGCCACATTCTATTTTCACCTCTTAAATTATCTCTCCCAAAATTCCGAATATTGTCCTATGTTTACGCGGATATTTCTAAGAATTCTCACCAAATTAAGGGCACCACGATCCGGCTGCTTTATTCTATCGCAATCATCTGGTAAGCGGGAGACTTCGGCGCCATTTCAGACGAGTGACGTGAGCTAATGTGCTTCGGCTCCAGTTCAAGCTCTGATTTCCTTTCCGGGTTTTGGGGTGCAGGTTAGTCACACTAGATAGCACATAGCAACTGGGTTCCAAACAAGCCTGAACAAGTTTAGGGGCCCTTCACACGTTTTTGAACTCTAACTAGAAGAGCACATCCATGGATACTATGGCTTTTAGACTATTCCTCAACAATAAAACCCACTGAGTGTCAGGGTCTCCGCGAGGGTTCCGGAGCTGAACCGTAACAATATATATTAACAATATCTGCTAGAACGGTTTCTAAAATATTCTTGACGATAGCGTTACGGTTAGCGAAGAAACCGTGCACCAATATATGGAGAAAAGGCTTTCTTTGGTAACGTTCTCCAATGAAGCTCTAACTATGGATTTGCCATGATAAACATCCTTCTTCGCAAGAAAGCCAACAAAGTCCCAAGGCCAGTCACCAAACCAAACCCCGTCACTAGGCATGCTTCCTCTTCTCCTTCCGTTGCTTTGTCCATCCCGAGAACCTCTCAAATGATCCGAAATACACAAGCCATATAGACAGCGAGAAAATACAAAGCGGAACCGCGACAGCCCAAAAGAGCCACTGATTTTCTGTCATGTTTCGAATGTCGTTTGTATTCATTCCAAGAATACTAGCGAGAGTGGAGATTGGAAGAAAGAAAACCGTGACAGTCGTGACTATGATGCGTTAGCTTCTTCCAAGAATCGAATAGACCGGATGGAATAAAGGGTACGTACAGACGAAGGAGGCCTTGTTCTGCTTATCGGTGTCGATCGACAAACATAGGAAATGCCAATTCTCCAACTCAGTCAATCGGCGGGACATTTCCCCGAAATTCTGTAGCATCTCTTCAGTCTGGTTTAGTAGATAGTCTGTGACTGACACTTCGCGGCTTGGCTCCATTGAGATTGGTTTAGAATACGATGAACCAGCTGCGAACGAGTGACTCTCAGATTCGTTAATACTATCCTCAAGGGCTACGAGAACCCGTTGTTGGTCTTCCAACTGCCCGATTATGGTCTCGAATTCCGTTTTGAGGGTCGTGAACCTCCCTTCATACTTGCGACTTAGCGGCTTATCATCCACTTGCTGTTTGAAGTCTTTGAGAGAGTCCCAGTAAAAGGAGGTGAGGCGGTGACGCTATGTACATATCAGTTCTGGTTGGTAGGCGACCCCTTATTTCTGCGAAAACTGTACCTCTAGAGTGAGTGGACCTTGGCTGTCATGCAGCAGTTGACCAAGGATGAGGACGGTGAGACCAAGCGGTAACACTGCTTCTCTTTCACGTATACTAACCGGCTGTAGGCGCTCAATCATCTTCAGCCGGCCTTGTAAAAACCTTTCTTTGCACCTTCGAATATGACTGGAAGACTTCGCAAAGCGATCTGTCGAGAACATTACAATGAAAATGATGAGCATCATCCTTATCTTTGTCAGCTAGCTCTCTTCTGAAACGAAAAGATGAGGGGTTCATACCAAGCTTGGATAAATTCATGAGGGACGGTAGTGACAAATTCTGACCAGTCTTTCTCTGAGAAGAGTTCCAATTTGATCTCGCTAGCCACCTTCGCCAGATTGGAAAGGTCTTTCGCGATCATTGCGAACTGACCATGGGCGCTCTTTATCCCTCTAGTCTGAAGGATACGGTTGAGGCCTCCCCAGAACTATCTCTAAGTCAGCAGGAAAAAAATACGTGAGGAAATTATCTTCTTACTTTTAAGGTCAATGGGTGTTCATAACGAAGAGGAAGGAAGAATTCGAAGAGGTCCTTGGCCGCTCTAGCAAACGTCAACTTATTGTTGAATTCCTCACGGTCTAGTAAACCTCGCAGTGAAGAAATGGAATTCTCTACTTGATACGTGGTTTTAGGAGGACATTCCGTGTAGCTCTTGCTCTCCATTTCTCGAGAATTCTTCGTGGATAGATATATGTCAGCTTCCGAGAGGTCTTGCTGAAGTTGCTTTTCATTGACTCGGTACTGTTGTTTCGGTGGCCCTGCGCTGCCCTGTGCCGGATCAACGGTGGTGTCTGGAGATTGCGTAATGGGCTCTGTAGCAAGCAAGGTGAAGACATGGAATGCGCCCACTTGCAGCATCTCCGTGGTATCTGCACTTTGTCCCGTACCGGCTGTGATGCTGGATGGTCCACTTCCCACAGAACTCATCGTTGAGAACTCTTCTACATCCGCTGGCCCTGTCTGTGTTTGCTCGTCAACTTGAACACTGATTGAAGGACTGGAGGCTGGAAGAGGTTCTGTTTCAGATGTTTCATCGGAAGAGGAGCCCTCATCATCGCTTTCATCGAGATCACTGCAGGAGCTCGTTAGAGACCAGGCTATATGGAAACACATCCACTCACTTTCTACAAAGTTCCAATCTTATCGCGGTCTTCTTGGCAATGGATACTATGGTGTCCCAGTCGTTCGAATCTTTCGTACGTGAGCGATCACACCCTACGTTGCAGTGATATCAGTCACATACCAAGCACAACATCTTTATACTTCACCTCCCAGCCGTCAACTAGACTGAAGCCCAGGCCGATAAAATTGGCGACAAATGCCTATGAAATGCATTAGTAACGAAGTCGTATACTCATTAACATACTTTTAGACGCTTTTGAAACGTTGATGTTGCAACATTACGCGCAACGAAACTAGGTGACACTTACGGACCAGGTTTCACACTGACTGAGAGGAAGAAGCCACAGGCGTATTCCTCCATCAGAGACGGCGAGGATTGGAGCTCGTTCCCCGGATAGAGGCCGGGATGGATCGGCGGGAGGTATGTGAACGAGATTGATGAGCTTTCCAGGGATATCCGCAACGCCTACTCTAGCACATGATATTATAAGGCCTGTCTGAGTTAGTCTATGGCCATTACGCTCTTGTCTGGGAACAGTACCATCTCCTAGCATCAAACACCAAAATTGGGCCACCTGGAAATGTTTTCCTTCGGAAATGCAACCCTTCCTTGTAAAAGGAGGCTTAGTGGAATGATCAGATGATGTGGCTTTCAAGTAGAAATAGGGAATGCACAACCACCTGCAGTTCGGGAAATGGTTAGCCAAGGTATTGTGAGTTGTGGCACAGGGCCTCGGAGAATCATACCTGACAACCTCTTTCTTTACCTGCTTTGAGCGAGGCCCTCGATACACTGTTGAATCGATTTTCTCCTCGAAATACTCAGGTTCAATGTAACTCCCCTTCATTCCAGGTGGCATCCGGAGGGATTGGTCGGACTTCTCTCGAGCAGTCCTTAGGATCGAACCGACACTATCCCTCTCCGAATCATCCAGATAAGGACATCTGATAACGTACTCCTGGAATCTTGTCAATGGATGTGCTTCATTGGAAGTGGGGTGGTCTGACGATATACGCTCCGAAATTCATCTCAGGGTTTTCTAAGTGCACCCATTTGAACAAGGGCTTCATGTATTCCGGTTGACCGGGACGTTTATTTGGTCCCACAATGAGGTGGGCGCTTAACTTGCTATTCCTAAATAGGTCACCCTCATAGCGAGACTTCAGGACTCGGTATGTAGTTGGCTGGCTTCCGTGTGACGATTTCAGGCTAAGGGTTGGAGAAGTGCTGCGGTATGAGGATGACCGATTGAGGGGATCAACGGCTTCTAAAAGAGAGTCGGTTCGCAGGATGTCCTTCTTTTTTAGATCTAGAACAAAACTGTTGTAGCTTGAGTCAGATTCGTCACCGCTCGAATCGGAGCTCTCATCGAAGCTTAGGGTTCGGTGTCTCGCTGCTTTCCCTAGGGATCTACCATTTTTCAGGGTAGAGCTAGGACTAAAGGAGAAGCGCTTCTTCGCAGGAGCCTTTGCCGGCTGAGGCGCGGCGGTGATCTCTAATGGAACCTGGAGCGTGGTCTGGGGAGCCTGAGGGAATACTACTAGCCGAGCAGGTGCGCTCCGTCTTGTTACAGTGGTCTGCCTGCCTTTTTTCTCGACGAAACGGCGCGGGGCTCTCGAGAAGCCGATGGTGTTCGAAGGGACCATGCTCGCGTAGGTCTCACCACATTATAAACCATGACACGACATTCTTGTAGGTAAGTGAGCACGATGAAGAGATTGAAGTTTCGACATTGCACCTCCGGACATGTAGAAGCCGAAAAGGTAGGATGCGTGCCTGGCGCCCTCAGATGATGAGCTGAGGTTGACGGCTCCATTGAGGCGGAGTGTTGATTGGTCAGTCTAATACTAGACCCAATTGACACTAGCGTATTTTGAATCTTTCGCAACCATGGCTTGGGCGCCCTGGGACTCTGCTTCTCGCTGTCTCTTTTTAGCGTGATGCTTTCCTTTAATGTGTAACATATATATCCTAGCTATGAAGAACCTGGCATACTGTAGCAGGAGGGGATGTTTGCGATGACACCATTTCTAGGACTTCTTAGGAAAGAGCCATTCGTCAGTTTGGGAGCATGCGCGCCCTTCTGTCCCTCTTATAGAATAGATCAGCAAGGAGGACGTTTATATATACTTGGTATCATCTTTCGTTGCGCTGTCTGCGACACTTAAACGACTCCCCACTCCGTAACTCGAACAGCATGGCTCCTGAGACTCAGGCCGATATCGCGATACGACTGTACAGCTCGCGCAGCTCCAGCTACGATGACAGCTGGCATGCTTCATTCACCAAACGCTTCGTTTCCTACCTTAATCTCTCTCCTGGGCAGCAGGTTCTGGATCTAGCATGCGGGTCCGGACTCCTATCATTTCTCGAAGCTGATGCGGTGGGTTCTTCTGGCCGCGTCATCGGCGTCGACGTGACGAAGGGGATGCTTTCTGAAGCGATTGCAAAGCGAGACAGAGAGACTGAGAAGTTCTCTAATTTAAAATTTTACGAAGGCGATATCCTCAAGCTGGAACAAGTTGAAGCCGTAAAGGATCAGACCTTTGACCTCGTCACCTTGGCTTCAGCTCTAGTGCTGTTTCCGGACCCCGGGGCTGCTGTAAGATATTGGTCAGATTACTTGAAACCTGGCGGATGCATTGCGCTAGACGCTACGCATCCTAATAACATAATCTTCGGGATGGTACTCGAGAGAACAGGGCGAAGACTCGGTCTTTCGATACCATACCACCGGGAATGGAGTAAGTCAAAGGATACATTGAGGGACGTGTTAGAGACGGCGGGGCTTGAAGTTGAGCAAGTTGTTACTATCGACAACCAGGCGGGATACGGAAGACGATACTACGAGATATCCGACGCTGATGACCAATTTGAGAGAAACATTATCCTTGGAGACGCTGCCACGACCTTCGCGGATCCCGAGATCCGGAAAAGGGCGAAAGCAGTCTTCAAAGAGGAATGGGAAAAGCTGGCTGTGAATGGGAAGGTCGAGGAAGTAGACGCGGTGTTTCTTGGGATTGCTCGAAAACGTACGACTCCCGGTACCATTCTAGTATCCGGAAAGTCACATACCGATGTTCTCCTCTCAGGGGGTTGCCGTTGTCAAGGAGTGAGATACCAAAGCACCGCGCCACCGTCGAGCATAACGTTCTGCCACTGTCGAGCATGTCAACAAGTCTCAGGGGCTCCCTTCCTTCCGTTCATCCAAGTGCCAACATCTTCATTCAAATTCACCTCATCTTCCACCCTGAGGACTTTGAAACTCTCGGACGCAGCAGAGAGAACATTTTGCTCGACATGCGGTAGCCCTATCACAATGGTGTATCTGTTTGAAGGGAGAAAGGAAGGGACCAGCTTGACCATGGGATCAGTTGATACGGAAAGCCTCAAGTGTGAGATGCCGAAAGTCCGCAAGCACATCTTCTTAGGCGAAAAGGCTCCGTGGTTTGAACTGTCCGATGATGGGGTTGAAAGGATGGAGACAAGCCTCGAGGCGCACTTGATTAAGCCATACCTGGTGCCCCGCTCCAGTGCCTAGTCATTATCGGCCTATTGGACAGCCTCGCGTCTAATGTACATTTCAGTCGAATTTCCAAAGTCCGGAATATTCTGCAGATGTACGAAGAGTACCTGCCAATGAGAAAAAGTATTTATTTCGTAGGATCCGCAAAGGTTGGCAAAGGGTCCAAAGACGAGGATGGTATACGTCGGCACTAAATTGCAGATGGTCACAAACACCCTTAGACTCTAATCGCCGTACTGAGTAGTTAAACCGAGTTCAACAAGTCCCACCACATGCTTCAACATGTATTGCTTCCACGTATTGAGTGCAGCAAGCGGCATCGACACCTTATCATTGACATGTCGGACGTGCCACATTCGGTGATTGGCACTTGGAGGCTGGTTTCTGTGCGACGTGGTGGTGGACTTGTGGTGAGGGGAACCGTATCTGCAGCATTCCAATGTCTCGACAGCTGGCACTATCGGAGAGGTGTGACGCAGAAACCGGAGATAGAGTAATTGCAAATAACGGGATGTTTCACGAATCGGGGAGTGTTCGGCTGAGAGAAACTGTTTTGGTGCGGATGGACGATCACGAGATATTTGGACAGTGGAGCCGGGCTCCTGTGCATGCACAGCCGATGAAATCAGGGACTCGCCGACTCGACTCAACGGCCTACAGTTTATGCAGGTTTAATGCTAGGATGAGGGGTGGATCTGTTTGTGGATTGACATCTGAAGATGACGAGGCGCGGCGGGCTGGGTGGCGTTTGCACCCCCGGCCACCCTCGCTTCCTGCCATTCCAAAATGTTCCAACCTCCACGACCAGCTAAAAGACCTGCCACCCAGCAACGAACGCCTGTAGTCCTTGTTGAGCGCCGGTCTTCTCTAGTACCCCTCGCCCCCCAGTTTCTACAGCACCTCTGTTGCACTGCATTCCGTACCAAACTTTACCAACTTGTCTCTCTTTGCCTTCAGCTCTCGAGTCCGGCTATCGATAGACGAGGTCCAGGAAATCCTTGCGGTCTTCGTATTATCGGACAGGGAGAGCTCCATATTGCGTTTCACCCCTCGATATCCCACCTACCGCATCCTCAGGCGAAGATTGGAGGGCGAGTAGGACTCGACCGACACAAATTCCTCGTTTCCCGATCGGGTCACCATTCCTGCAACTGTTCTACACCACCGGAACGGAACCATGGCCTTTAACCATGCATCGGCCGCATCCCGTCCCTCTCCGCTGCACCTGCAACAGGCACCTCTAGCTTCTTATGCCACTCACTGCTCGCTGCGAGCAGGAGCTCTGCACCCCCTGAAGCAAAACCCGCCTTCCATTGTCGGCGACGACTTCTCGTCCTTTGACGATATCGATATCCAAGACCCAATCCGCCCGCCGCCTTCCGCTTTGACAGCTGCGACTGCCTACGATCCGCATGCATCCTCCTCTCCTCTAGATGACTACTCACCATCATCTCATATTGGCCACCAGAGGTCGTTGACAGACTCTTTTTTTGACAACTGCAGACCACTAGTAAACAGAGCTACTTCAACCTTACAACAACATACTTCAAGGACATCCTTCCACTCACCGACCAAGTCTCTTGCTAGCTTCATACCTTCGCGAAGCGCAATCGAGTCGACGGCGTCGCAGCCGAAGTTCAGAGCTGGCGCAAAGGTACTTAGCGATTGGTTCAACGGCTCCTCGGGCCCAGTGAACCTGGGTGTCGCTCCCCTCTCACCAAGCAAGGAACACCTACACGAAGACTACGACTCGGAAGAGGACGACGACGACGGCAGGATGATGGCCGGCATCTTCAATCGAGTGCCGGCCCTGACGCGCTCAGCAACGGAATCAGCACCCGCGCAGTCGAAACCCAAGCATACCCAAACCCAGTCTCCCACAACCGGGAGCAAGTTTGCGTGGCTACTGTCAACACAGAAGAATGCTGCTATCCCTCCACCCGCCCCATCGCCGACCTACCACAACCCCTCCGATGAACTTCTCAACCTAAACATTCCCCAATCGCTCTTCCCACACGGGCCTGTCGACCCCCTAGACCCCTCGGCCTTCCACGATCTCCTCTCCACAGCCGAGACCCTTCTCACTCGGTATCAGAACTCGTACCGTGCCCTATCCTCCGCCTTGAGCGATGCTAGAGCCGAGCAGAGTGCTCAAGATGACGAGCTGGATGAGGCAGAAACGCGAGTAAGGCATCTAAAGATGCAGTTGGAGACAATGGCGTCGCGAGCAAGCGAGCAGGACGCGCAGATGCACAAGTTGATGGAGGAGCTGCAGTTTGAACGCCGCGCACGTAAGGAGGAAAAGGAGGCCAGGAAGCGGAGCTTGGCCCTGATCAGAGGCCCCGGATGTGCCCACACTGGATGCGAAAGAGAGGCTGCTAGCCCGAGGCGAAGGAACCGAGTCTCGAATTCGGATGTCTCTATTGATTCTGGCTTTGAGTCTGAGTGCGAATCCGAGGCTGCGAGCATCTTCTCTCGTGCGAATCGACCCACGAGCCCTACCGATACCATCCCATCATCGGCTGCGTCTGAAGCCGGGTCACCAAATGATACCACGCCCAAGGGTAAACACCTTCAACCACTGGAACGAAGGAGTACGTATGACAAGGTCCTACACGGTGGCGCAAACTTAGAGAAGGTTAGCTGGGGTTGCGCAAACTGTGAAGGTGGACCTCAAGCCTCTGTGTGGGGGCGTCTTGCTAGGGAGAGGGAGGAGTGCAGTATACTAAGGAGAAGGGTCGAGGTACTGGAGGAGGCTGTCGACGGTGCCCTGAGCGTGGTCGATGGACCGTGGGGGATGTAATTGCTTCTTTTGTAAATACCTGGGGCTAGGCGCGGCGCTCAAGTTTAGCATTGATGGGGCAGGAGTTTGGCATTCATGTAATCCTTTCGCATTTTAGAGGAGGGGTTCAGGAAGGGCACTGGCATTTTCATGGAACATGAGTATGAAGTTGGGTGGTTCAGCGTAGAGCGCTCAGATTTTAAATGAAGCCTTGATCGAGTGCAGTTGTGCTCCCAAGTCTCTCTAAATCTTAACTGTATCAACTTGAGGATCCTTTGTGACCAAAATGTGTAAGTTACCACTTGCTCGGCTCCTTCTGGGCACAGACCATCGCCATCCCGAACTCTTCCTCCAACTCCTAAAGGATTATCACAGCAGTGCAACTGGACAACGCAAAAAGCAAAAAGGTAATTGCAGCCACAGGTGACTCTAGGCTATTAGAGAACATAATGGACTACGCGTATTCCCGACAACACTTAAGGGGCACTGAAGCTTTAGATAGGGTATCATTTGTTGTACATACATTTGATCAGTTAAACGGTCTAAGGTTGTTACAACGTCATCTCACAGAGTACTCCTTCAATTAAACCCCATGGAAAATGTGACACAGCGCAACATAACTCTTGCCGAACTTCAAATCGCCAGCAACTCTGCAATGTCCGCCTCCCTTAAACAAAAAGTCAGCAACGCCACTCACGAAACCAAAGAGATTCACTACATACTCACGATACGTCTCCCACCCAGGAAGCAACGTCAACCCAAGAAGTAGCATAGCCAGCAACTGTCCAAACCCCCACTCCTTCTCACTTCCCTCGATCTCCACCAACGGCGAACCCAGTGCTTGCGATCTACTCAACACAATACTCGCATTGACCAGCCCATAAATCGTGTACACTGGCGTAACCACATAGTTTCTGAACCGCGCACCCCAGAGCTGTATCCACGACCGATCCTCCGTCTTGTGCCGCGTGACATACATGGAGAAGAATATGGAAAAGTGGCCTGCGAGGCCTGCAGCGAGCAGTAATATCCATTTGAACCAGAATGCTGGGCCATAGGCTGGCTTGTGGCCTGCGTAGTAGCATGCGAGATTTGCAGAACTTTTGCGTTCGAGACTACTGAGCTCGTAGGAATATCCGTAAAAACTGGTATACCCTAGGAGTGCAAGATTGAGAATCATGACTGCCACACGGGGCACATTGCTCAACCTATCCTGGACAAAGTCATCGCGCAGCGCGACCAGCGCGAGCAAATGCGTGACAGTACTCAGATAAGCGAGCTCGGTGACGATCTGGTAGTGGTAAATTGAGATTGTGCAGTGTTGGATCAGCGAGACAATTTGCACAGCGGTGCCTGTAAAGAGCTGGGAATCATTCAGCGCGTTGAGAATTTTCCGCACGACGTCGGCCCAGAAGAGATGTCGTTGGAGCTTATAGCCGCGTATATAGTTCGTGTCTTCGGCGTAGACATCGGGGTTCTTGGTTACGTAGTGACGGAAGATGTTAACTATTTTTTGGTAGTGGTCGAGATAGATGATAATGACGGATGCAATGATGGCTAGGCATGCCGTTAGGAGGAAGGAGATGATGGTCTGAGGAGTGTTAATTTATGGAAAATATTGTCACGATTTAGAGATAATAGTTGAGATGGATTGTATGTACTTACTCCGATACCTGCGATGTCTGGATTTGCCTCCACAGGACCGGTAGCGCCGCAATCTTCAAGGAAATGAGCTGGGCAGGAAGTCATTGCCATAATTTTCGTGACTTCAATACTCTCTTCTAGAAATTTACTGAAATGAGCACAATGAAAACGATCTTTCGCGGGTAGGCGTTGTGCGCAAGTTATTATGAAAAGTTCCCCCAACTCCAGCTTGGTTCAGCGTGTCGCAATGTGAGACACGGTGTGAACTCTCCTTTTCCCTGATCTGAGTAGCAACGACATTTAGTGGTAAGTATGATTGAAGAGTTAGCCTCAGCGGCTAAAGGGAAACCCGCAAGATAATGTCTTCAAAATAAAAGATCGTGGCTGTGTGACCGGCGGCTGAGGGTTGAGAGGATGTGCCCCAGGATTCGCACCCTTACCAACCTATTTTGGACCCCACCTTGTTAGTGGTCAATCCGTAACTCGCATTTAGTGTTCATTCGCTCTACCTAGAGGAGGCAGGAGGATGGCGAAGTCTTTGGCGGGTAACGTTATTTTTTCCACGATAATAGAAGTTTGTAGGTCGCGGTGCTGTCTCACCCCCCTGGCTCCATTTCCGGTCGGAAGCGGAGACCACAGCGCTGATGCCGAGACTAGCAGTGAGATCAAAGGGAGCTGAGCTCGAGCTACCATGACAGTATCAATCCACTTCCAGTGCATCATGCCATTGAGCTGGCCGTGTTGCATAGTTGTCGCCGATCTTGTGTCGTCTGAGCGCCTTAGTTTTTCTACGGGACCTTTATTTAAAAACATGGGCATGTCGTCTGATATATTTGCCGCTCGTAGACTGTTCATGATATGTTTCTGATCAAATATCCAGTGAACATTTGCCGCCATAATGGGTTCGTGTGATAGCACACAACATCGAACGGGTACCAACCTCCCAAATGCTCCAGCGCCATCCAAGGCAAGCCCGTTGTATCATTGTTTGAACTTGACAAACCTTAGGATATCAATAGTTATTTATTCTTAAACATACTAGCGGCTGGTGAACTACCATGGCAGATATAGGCATACTAGATGTAACTTTGCAGAGGCACGAGCTATGAGAGGAGGCATGTATTGTGGACTGAGGGTTCGAGGAGCTATATGATTAATGTAGAATTGGTGGACGCTAAGCCCAGGTTGATTGGGTAGCCCATCGTAGAGGCCTTCGGCTTACACTAGATCTACGTTCTTCGCAACGGAGTGTATCGACCTTCATGTCCTCCTCTTCCTCCTGCCAGTCTACCTCCTTAGGATTCTCTTGGGACTGGGTCGGCACGCCCGAGGATCCGCCTCAGTCAGCACCTTGGGTCTGTGCCGCCGATTCCCGATGGATTGTGGCACCGGCCTCTTCCTCGCTCCCTGGAGTATCGTTTGTCTACAGACATCGAATTCGACGGCGGGAGATAATATTTCTTATGGAGTGGAGAGTTCAGAGAGCAGATTGTGAACGACGAAGGGCCTGTACTGGAACATATCGGGCTATTCACCATGCCTTACGGAAGGTGTCGCTATAATGTTCACATGCAAATCGGCTTACGGAGAAGCTAGGCATATACTTCTCAGAGAGCGTATTCTACCTCTGTCAATATCCACGACGTCATCAAGGTTGTCCACCAATCCAGAACAAGTACCGCTCGGCGCATTCATCGGCTCACGGGACCGGGCTTATTCCAAGGACAAGAATTTGCCAAAGTAATCTAAGGGTGGGGGCATATGTAGAACGGCTAATGAGCGATATATTTCACAACCTCGAAAGAATGCTCCAGATACTTTCACCCTGGAATGGTGCTAGAGCTGTCCCTAAGCTTCAAGTAATTGCTCTCCAGACTGATGGCACGGATCCCGGCGGGCCGACCTTCTTACTCGAGGAGGTAGCACGCATGCTGGAAGTGGGACTATTGGCTATAACCCCTATGAGGAATTACATTCTTTGCTAGAGCTCTGAAACCTGGTAGAATCTCTACATCATCAGCCTACCGACAATACACGAGTAATCTTTCTCTCTTCTGTAATCTCATGTACTACTACCCCATTCTCCAACCCGCGTCGACGCAAGTACAACAGCGGAGATACCAGAAGCAGTATGAAAGACGACCACGAGTACAATCCCAGCAATGACTCCTGGACTTGTTATGCAGCGAGATAGCCTTAGTTGTTTGCTCACTTAGGGATGATAGGTAAAGCCTCGAGATCAATCGATGGTAGGCTAGGGAGTGATAAGAACAACGACGGGAGGCTGTGTTGTGTATACGGTTGATATATGAGGCTGTTGCTGGCATTAAGGGAACTTTGGAAGCTGGAGCTCATAGAAGGAGGGGTTGATGTTCTACAGCACGTGCTGAGCGGCCTCCTTGGCTATATGGTCCGAGCGTCGTAATTGGTATGCTGGTTCTCCAAGCTTCAATTCACTGTCATTACCTCGTCCTCCGCAATCCTCCTCCTTCTTGCTATCACAATAGCAGAACGCCCTTCTCTAGATTCAGAATGCTCTCAGGAATCCTCATCTTCAATCAAAAAGGCGAAAACTTAATATTTCGCGCGTTCCGCAACGACTGCCGCCCCCGACTCGCCGACGTCTTCCGCATCCAAGTCATCTCGAATGCCCAAGTACGCTCGCCAATCCTCACCCTCGGCTCGACCACTTTCAGTCATGTAAAACACGAAAATATATACTTGGTGGCTGTAACAAAGAGCAATGCAAATGCCGCTCTGGTTTTCGAGTTCTTATACCGGCTGGTGGGACTGGGGAAGGCCTATTTTGGAAAATTCGATGAGGAAGCTGTAAAGAACAACTTCGTACTTGTGTACGAGCTTTTAGATGGTATGAAAGCATTCTCACACTTGAATGCGCGTGGCCTGGGGGCGAATGGACTTTTGCTAACGTGTCGGACCAGAGATACTGGATTTCGGATACCCCCAAAACACCGAGACAGATACTTTGAAGATGTATATAACAACTGAAGGGGTCAAGTCGGAAAGAGCGATGGTATGCGCCTCCAGCTACTTTGACCTGGCCATCAATTGCTCACTGCGTGCAGGAGGACTCGTCCAAGATCACTATGCAAGCCACAGGCGCACTCTCTTGGCGGCGCGCCGACATCAAATACCGCAAGAACGAAGCCTTTGTCGACGTTATCGAAGACGTAAACCTCCTCATGTCCGCGACCGGGACCGTACTCCGTGCAGATGTGAACGGGCAGATCGTAATGCGAGCCTACCTCTCTGGCACCCCCGAGTGCAAGTTTGGACTCAACGATCGCTTAACACTAGGCGAGGACAACCTACATCAACCAAGTGGCAACAGGGCAGGGGCGAAGGCGACAAGAGCTGCAGCAGGGAGCGTGACGCTGGAGGACTGCCAATTCCATCAGTGCGTGAAGCTAGGGAAGTTCGACACAGACAGGATTATCTCCTTCGTTCCGCCGGATGGAGAATTCGAATTGATGCGATACCGTGCAACCGAAAACGTCAACCTACCATTCAAAGTCCACGCCATTGTAAACGAGATTGGAAAGACGAAAGTTGAGTATAGCATCGCCATCCGTGCAAACTATGGATCTAAGCTATTCGCCACAAACGTCGTCGTCCGAATACCAACACCCCTAAACACTGCGCGCATATCAGAACGGACAAGTCAAGGAAAAGCGAAATACGAACCCGAACACAACAACATCGTATGGAAAATCCCCCGATTTACGGGACAGAGCGAATTTGTCCTTAGCGCAGAGGCTAGCCTTACTAGCATGACTAACCAGAAAGCTTGGAGTCGTCCGCCTCTGAGTTTAAATTTTTCGCTGCTTATGTTTACGAGTTCAGGGCTCTTAGTGCGCTATTTGAAGGTTTTTGAGAAGAGTAATTATAGTAGTGTTAAGTGGGTGCGGTATATGACAAGGGCGGGGAATTATGAGATAAGGTGAGTACCTCTACGTGCAAGTTCATTTTGAGATGCTAATGGTTGTCTAGATTTTGATTTAATTTAGGCTGGTCTTATGAACCTTGGAAGCAACGCGCATATTACTTTCTCGCCTTCGCATTTTTTGGCGTTTCTTGGACATAATTGAAGATATCCAGGCTCAAGTCACACTGAGTTCTCTCAAGACATCTCAAGCAGGAACAATTTAGCATTTTTGCAATCCAGTGCATATTTGTGCTAACAAGGGCGTCCTAATGACAATGCCTTAAGTCCCAGCAAAAGATTTTCGAGATCCCCTCAAGTCTCTTCACGATCCCCGTTGCTGACAAGCATCATCCTGGAGTAGATTCACCTCCTCACCAGATTACACTCCCATGACACCTTACTCCTCTGAACCCAATCAAGCTTCTCAATCCACCGATCCCTACTCAGTTCAAGCACTACCATCAACGGGCACTTCAGCGGCACGCTCCTCTCATCATTCAACACTTCCACCGCCTTCCACTTCCACTTTAACACATTAGTCATGGGGTCAGTTAGGGCGTCGCTACCAATCCAAACACGCACGTTGACCGTCTATGAGCATCGTAATCGCACCACCGCCCGGTGAAGAACTCTTGTATTCCTGTCCTCTACCGTAGCTAGAGGGAACTCCTCTCTCCTTGGCATGGACATGTTTCAAGACCTATTCCTCGTAGAAACACGTCGGCATATTCGCCGCACAAGACCCAATCTCCTCACCCTCCTTCTCCTCGTTATACTTCTTCATCCACTTCCCATCAAGTTCGTAACCCGTTTGCAGCACAAACATGAGCCGAAGGACCTAGCCGAGAGAAAAGGGGTGGACAGAAGGTTGTTCGTAGTTGTCTGGATTTGGAGTGGAATGGTCCTCGGATTGCTGGTCTGATTACCTTCTCTCTTCACTAAGTTTACGGTTTCTGAGTCGGCCGCTTGTAGTAGGACCGCTATAAAAGAGTGAGGTTCGAGAAGGTCTCCTGATGTAGAGGCGGTTCTCGGAGGGATTGCTCCGGAAAGCTCGATGTGCTAGACCAGCATGTTGGGATGCGGCAACTTCCAGGTTTCTAAGATAAGATCCTTCAGTTGTATAGAGTGGTATTGAAGAACCTTGTACTTGCACAACTCTCTTGTGTACTTGTACAACTCTCTTGACATCGTCAAAGATGAAGGTTATGACAGGCTTACAAACCCAGTCGTATTTAAGTTTTCGCCCAGGTGGGTCAGAGGGCAGCAATAATTCCACGCCTTCTTCGACTTCTGCTCTTGAGAGATTGTCGTCCCTCCATTCCCACTCTTCGACACGACGTCGGCCCTTTCCTCGACTAACAGTTATATCAATGCCTGTTACTCGTTCTTCGCCGGAAAACGTAGTTCTATCGCCGCTGCGTCGGGAATTCTGTTGTTGGCGATGCATTTCCCCAGCAATTAGCTGCTTTGTAGCCTCGTGACTGTTCTCTGCCGCTCTGTCGAGCACTGTCCACTCGTTGCTGTCTTTTGCATCGACGTCGGCCCCCTCCTTAATTAATAGCCGCACCACTCTTTGATGTCCATTCCATGCTGCCCAGTGCAGAGCTGTCCATCCATCATTGTCCTTTGTGCTAATGTCAGACTCTGTTTCAATAAGTAACTGTGACACCCTTTCGTGGCCATTCCATGCTGCCCGGTGGAGTGCTGTCCAACCACCACTATCCCTTGCATTAACTTCTGCTCCCATATCAATCAATGCCTTTACTACTCTTAGATGTCCATTCTCTGCTGCCCGATGCAGCGCCGTCCATCCGTCACTATTCTTCTCAGCAACGTCAGCCCCTTTATTAACCAGTAACTGTAACACCCTTTTGTGCCCGTTCCATGCTGCTCGGTGCAGCGCCGTCCAATCGCAACTATCCCTTGCGCTAACTTCTGCTCCCATATCAATCAATACCTGCACTACATTCAGATGCCCATTCTCTGCTGCCCGATGTAGCGCCGTCCATCCATCACTATGCTTCTCGGCAACTTTAGCTCCTTTCTTAGCTAGTAACTGGACCACTTTCGTATGCCCATTCCATGCTGCTCTGTGTAGTGCTGTCCATCCATGACTGTCTCTTACGCTAATTTCAGTTCCTTTCTCCAGAAGACTCTGTACTAGCTCTTTATGTCCATTTTGTGCTGCCCAATGTAGGATCGTCCAATTGCCGATAGATTTCGCAGGATTAACAAGGCCCAACTCAGTCACTAGCTGGAATCCCCAGCAAAGCGCCATTAAGCCAGTGCCATGTTTCGCCCTAATTTCAGCCATCTTATCAATTAATAGGCGCACAATCGCCTTATGCCCATTCTCTGCTGCTATACGTAGCGGTGTTCGTCCAATGTAGTCTTTCTCAGCAGTATGTGCACCTCTCTCAACTAGTAATTGTACCACTCTCTTATGTCCGTTCTCTGCTGCCCAGTGTAACGCTGTGCGCTTAGCGTTATCCTTTGCTTCTATGTCGGCCCCTTTTTTAACCAGTAGTTGCACTACTTTCTCACGCCCACTCCATGCCGCCCTATGTAAGACTGTCCATCCATCGCCATGCTTTGCAGAAACGTCAGCCCCTTTGTCAAGTAGTAATTGTACTACTATCTTTTGCTTCTTCTGCCTCGCTATACATAGCGCGGTCAACCCATTGCTGTTCTTTGTAGTAACCTCGGCACCTTTTTCAACTAGCATTTGTATGACTGCCTCGTGCCCGTTTTCTGCGGCGTTATGGAGTGCCGTCCATCCGCTGCTGTCTTTTCCATCAACAACGGCCCCCTCCTTAATTAGTAGCCGTACCACTCGTTGATATCCATTCCATGCTGCCCAATGCAGGGCTGTCCACCCCTCGTTGTCCTTTGTGTTAACATTAGATCCTTTCTCAACGAGTAACTGTGACACTTTTTTATGTCCATTCCATGCTGCCCGATGCAGCGCCGTCCAACCACTACTATCCGTCGCACTAACCTCTGCTCCCATATCAATCAATAACTTTACTACTCTTAGATGCCCATTCTCTGCTGCCCGATGCAGCGCCGTCCATCCGTCTCTATTTTTCTCTGCGACGTCAGCCCCTTTCTTAATTAGCAACTGGACTACTCTCTTATGCCCATTCCATGCTGCTCTATGCAGTGCCGTCCATCCACTGCTATACGTTGCGGCAATATCAGCTCCCTCTTCAACTAGTAACTTGACTACTCTTTTGTGCCCGTTCTCTGATGCCCGATGTAACGCCGTCCATCCATCGTTATGCTTCTCAGTAATGTCAGCCCCTTTCTCAATGAGCAACTGGACAACTCTTCTATGCCCATTACATGCCGCTCTGTGCAATGCCGTCCACCCATGACTGTCTTTTACGCTAATTCCAGCTCCTTTCTCAATAAGACTCTGTACTAGCTCTTTATACCCATTCTGTGCAGCCCAATGTAGTGCCGTCCAATTGCCTGTGGATTTCGCAGCAAGATTACCAAATCCCACCTCAACCATCAGCTGATACCCCCAATTAAGCGCCGTTAAACCAGTGCCGTTTTTCTTGCTAATCTCAGCCATCTTATCAACTAAAAGGTACACAACCGCCTTATGTCCATTCTCTGCTGCTATACGTAGTGCTGTTCGTCCAATATAGTCCTTCTCGGCAATGCGCGCACCTCTCTCTACTAGTAGATTTACCACTCTCTTATGCCCATTCCCTGCTGCCCAGTGTAAAGCCGTGCAGCCAGTGTTGTCCTTCGTTTCTATGTCGGCCCCTTTTTCAACTAGTAGTTGTACTACTCTCTCATGTCCGCTCCATGCCGCCCTGTGTAAGGCCGTCAATGCACCGCCGTGTCGTGCCGTAAGGTGTGCCCCTTTGTCAAGGAGTAGCTGTACAACCTCTCCATGCCCGCTCCATGCTGCCCTATGCAGTGCTGTCCACCCATCATCATCCTTTGCGTTAATATTGGCCATTCTCTCTACCAGAAGCCGCACCATAGCGTAGTCTCCTTTCTCCGCAGAAAATATCAACGGAGTTTTGTTCTGCAGCCAAGTTTCAATTCCAGCGCCAGCAATCAACGCCGTTTCGACAACCTGTGGATACTGCAGCCTGAGCGCTGAATGTAGGATACTGTTCCTGAAGTCCGCCGCCCGTTCAATAATAGGAATGACTCTTTGGAGATGCGTGCCGACCCAGTTTTCTAACAAATAGGCAGCTGGACCGCAAAGCAGTCTATCAAAAGACCGGGAAACGAAGTGTGAAACATTCGAAGTTCGCCGACAGCCGCTTATATGGTGCTTAAGGAAGGATAGGGTATAGTTCATTAATGGCCTTTCGTTAAGATATTGCGTGTAAGCGTCAAAATGCTGTGAAGTCCAGTCTTCCACGTCAAGGAGCTTATTTTCGAGAGCAGTATTTGCAGCACAAAGCAGTAAATACCGCGTACAAATTATAGTGATGCTGGCGTGAGCATCTCTCTCCCTTACTTTAAATCTCGACTTTGCGACATGCCCACCCCGTCGAAGAAAGAACTCCCGAACCGTTTGATGTATTACTTGAACATTTCCATCTCCTGTACGGTATTAGCTAGACGGCCCTAAAACAACTTTAGGATAAAGGAGTGTAATCCAAACCTTTGATCTCAAGAAGGCCTCCTCCACAATGAGCAATGCGCTTTTCCATACCTTGAATTAATTCCCCCTCAAATGATTGGTCGGAAGGTATGGATGCCCTATTAGGGTCGCCGTCAATAGCAAGTGCATGCTGAAGTTCTTTAACTGTAAGGGGACGGAGTGCAAACAAGACATATTGGAACATTCTTGTTCCATCTCTAACATCCCTTAACGATCCTTGTTCCATCTTGTTAACAATACGTTCGTAGAAATGTTCCATTTCGGTTGGCAAGGCTTTTAATTGCTCGATGATCTCCCTGTCTCTGTATCCTTTCTCAGGGAGAGACCGCATCTCCTCCCTGACAAGGGATACCCATAAGAACACTCCTTGAGCATGGTCAACAATATACTCTGTCGCTTCCCGGAGAAGGTCGCCGGTGAGGCCCAGTTCAGGGCCTAGAAAAGAGTCTGTAAACTTCTTGATATCGGCTTTGGTCTCGTCCTGCATTCTGATTATATTATGGAATTTGTTGATGTAATGTTGGACCTCGGAAACAGGTCGGCTGGCGATAAATATCTTGATGATGCAGCATTTCGACGTAGAGCAGAGTTCTAACAGTAGCTGAAGGATATCACGCCTATCCTCATCATCTGACTCATCCACTGCATCGACAATTAAGTAAATCCGTTCTTCTTTTTCGTGATCCCTCAATGATAGAAGAATATCTTTTAGCAGACTATAGGACCATTCAACGTGTCCTGCGGCTGAGGATTTTTTGTGGATCCGGTACTTTGACTGAAAGTGATAGAAGAATGTCTCGTTCTGATCTAAGATAGCGTAGAGAACCGATCGGAGCATGTTGTGATGGCTTGTTTGGAGCTTACCCTCTCGGTAGCTGAAGAAAAAGTCGGCTAAGATTGCTGATTCTGCATCCGGGTTCCACTCCAAGAAATTATCTTTAAAATACTTTGCAAGAGTACTTTTCCCGCTGCCAGGTTTGCCTTCAATGCAGAGAAGGCGAGAGTTATTAGATGATGACCACTCTTGGTACTGGTTATGTGTCCAGAGCCATTCTAAGGATCCCTTGTGCTCTTCAGATATCTTGCTGTAGCGAGTGTTATCAAAACGAAGACTAGCAAGGTATTCTGTGTTCCATTGTAAGTTCAGTTTATAGTGAGTTTCTCCGGGGCAACGAACCCTTTCTTTCTTCGTCATATTCGATATTTGGCAACCCACTCAGCACTTCTTTAATCTTGTTATCGGGCTGGCTTGTTATTAAAGCTGTAACCTTCGCGTTTCTAGCGGGAAGATCTCCAATGACCGCACGAACTTGCTGAATAAATTCGACATTCTGACGCTCGGCTCTGTCTATTCCATCCACTACGATGAACAATTCCTGCTTCTGTCGATTTAGAACTGCCCTCAAAGCATGCCAAATTGCAGTATGGTCGAGTAGTTCCTTAATAGTATCCTCGAAAGGGCCTTGTTCTTTAAATAGTCGCCGTTTTTGTTCCCCGTCGCGGATTTCTTTGAGAATACCCTCCAATACCACGTTAAGAAAATTTCTAATTATCGATGTCTTCTTCTCCGGTAACGAAAAGCCAAGGATTTGGTATAGGAGCGTGTGAACGAAAACGGTGGCAACAGATTTTTCCTCGGCAACAGCAGAGCAAAAAAAGTATAGGACATTAGCTTCGGCTCCCGGGACCCTTTTTGGGGCTATGTCCAAGATGTATGATGACACTTGATGAATGTTGCATTTTGTGGGCCCTGACAACCAAAGCGTCTGAGAACCCGTAGAGTACCATTGCTGAAAGTCCACATTTTTGAATATCCAGTAGAATTCCGGATCTTTGCAAATTAGAGACGATGTTGTGGGTTTATGCTTCTCTTGGTCAGATACTGATAGGATCTGCAAAAATTGTTTCACAGTCACAGACCTTATAGCAGTCTGGACCTTGGTTATGTAGCGTTGTAAGTTGGGACCAGTAGAATCCCTGTTCAGTTGTACATCATCCGTGCCTGGAAGAGATTAGCCTGACTCAGGTAGTGAGGTTTTACTTTGAGATAACTGGTCATTGCCTGGGTAAGCTTCGGGATTGCATGTATTTCCATGCCTTGATTCCTTCAGCAAAAAAGATGATGGGTGCAGTATCAAACAAATAAGCTTAAACAGCGCCTTTATTTCCAAAACCATCCCACATCAACTGTAAAACTCTGAATTAGGCATGATAATGGATCAACTAACCTTTGGTTGGTGATACCTTGGGGTTGATGGCATAGAGAACTCCTTTCGCGTAGACGGCTGCAACGGCAGCCGCATATGGTTGCCAGTCCTTGTTCTTCTGGCTATCCCCATAATCACACACGCCTCTTATAACACCCGTTGGAAGAGTGTTCATAACGCCAGCCGCCTCCATTTCAAGACCAATGAGATTGTATTTGTCTCTTAGTTCATCTCTTCGTTTAGAATCTCTCATCATGGAGTTACTAGAGCCAATGTTCCCATACCACACTCGAGTGCGCTCTGATTCATCGCGCAGTTTCCTTTTTACCAGTTTTGGCACCAAGCCGGTTCCTTCTCTTACTCCTTCAAATAACCGATCATCCTGTTGGCTCGGGCATAAGAACTTTTTGTCCCCTGTCTTTTCTTGGAAGGAAGTAAGATACTGATAAAATAAGTTTCCGATTCTGAACGGATGTTTCTTGGTGAGCCTGATATTGCTAATTGCGGATCTGACAATCGCTGGAGTCTCAGCTTGTCTGCCAACGAGCATGAAGCCGTCCTCTGTATGTCTCCCCAGGTCGTAGTGTACAATACCGGCGCTCGTCTTTTCCGGTACACAAACCAGGACATCGCCAAATCGGATGTCTCGAGGCTGTGCAGAGGCCTTTGGGGAAAGATTAGGCAAGCCAGCGGCTACTCCTACTAACAAGGCGAACCAAATGTTTGGGAAGCGGGCCTTCACTTGATTTACAAGCGCGGCCGCGGCTCCTACACCATAATTTTGTCCCTCTGGCCAAGTGGCTATCACGACATTGTGCCCATTTATATCCCCTCCAATATATATGTAGTCATCGCCTCGCCCGGTTACGAACTGTCCGTCATGTTCGTTGTCCAGCATGCCCAGGGCCGCCTCCGCCTCGATCGGTAAGACGGCGATCCATGCGACGGTATAGTCTTCGAAATATAGGATACGGCCCATCGCGAGTATTCCTCAATGGATGTGAGACACAAGTTCGGAAGGATTAAGCATAAATCTGGGCGGCAAAATGCAAATATGGGACGTTGCGCTAGTTAAAGGAATTTTTTGACTGGGCTTTGTACCTCCCTGCACAAATGAATCGTAACACCGCTGGAGTGGATATAGCTGAGGCTCAACGATTCTCCATTCAAGATCTTTTCTATTGGTCCACGTTGCTAGCATTGCTGACTGCCTTCACGCCAATAATCCGGGGGGCAGTAGAACCGACCAATCAAAAGAGCCGTGGCTGGGAGATGGTTGGCAGAGCCGCAGAAGGCTCGAGTCTTGGTGACTGTCTACAATCCTCCTTGATTCTCAGTCGCCATGCTGGGAAAGCTTCTCTTAAGCCTCCTGGAGCCTCATGGTTAATTGCTGGAAGCAAATCTAGAGTGGTTTTGGTGGGGCTCTGTCGAGAACAGGCAATGATTTGTGAGTGAGATATTAGGCGAATACGAGGGCTTAGCTCTCAGCTTGGAGGCGGGCCTTTAACTAACAATGCGGATCGAGGTATTTCCTTGTCTCTCCAATACCTTCATTTGTAGCCCTCCCGTGCCAGTACTTTGTTTGTCGTGCCGTTAGGTCGGCCCTCGTACTATGTCTCGATCAATTGCTAGCTCTGGTTCCATATCCTCGAAATCGGAGTCAACGATGTCGACAAGCTCCACCGATAGTAAGTCTGGCAAGAGTAGTATCGGGATGAGTCTCTCGAAGAGCTCAGATCAAATATCCGACAAAGCGGAAGACGTCTTCGATACGCAAGCCTCTCCATCGACTAGCAGCGGGGATGAGTATGATTCAAGCATCCTTGAGTGGGTTCATAACCCTGACCAGGATGAGGTGTTAGTGGAAGGGGAAGAAGGACAGGCAGCGGAAGAGCAGCATGATGTTGAGCCGTCTGTCTTCGCATCTCGTCCGGGCAGACGCAACTATATACCCAGCGGATCTGAACCCTCCTTTCGTTCTTTTCCCCATCACATTCCGGTCCATAGCTTTGCTAAGCGACGAAGAATGCGAGACGCACACAGCAGATATCGTACACAGCGGCGTGAGAAGAGTGAGCGAGGTCGACCACTCTTGGACTCTCTGTCAGAGGAAGTTGACGACTATCCTCGATGGGGTCCACATTTGGCTGATACAAGTGAAGAATGGACTGATGTTCCGCATACTCGAAATGAGCGTACACCTAGTGTTTTCTCCGGGCACTACAAACCGTTCGCTACAAGTGCTCGACCCTCAGGGAGTCGGGTTGCGTCTTTCGACGAACCCAACTTCGTCCCTCATATGCCACGCTCAACGCATGGCGCAGAATACTTCAGATATGGGCCTCGTGATATACCCAGGCGTCGTCCACGGCACCAGAACCCGACACCGGTTACACCACCGTTTATGGCTCCCTGGGGACCATATTACCCCTTCCCACATGGCTATGGCTACGTTCCTCCACCTCCACCTCCGGGTCCTCCAGCTCCCCAGGGGCGGCAACGGCCGTCTACCACACCGCCATCGACATCGCCGCCATCGTATCCTGTCGACGAAATACTCGCAAAATTAGAGAAAATGCTGGCTTATCAAGAAGAAACGCAGAGGAGGAGGGAGGCCGAGGAAGCCGCTGCTGGAGCCGCCCAGGCGAAGGCTGTAACAGAAAACTTATATGTGCAGAAACTGGAAAGGCTCCTTCTGCGACAAGTGGGAGATCGGCTGCAGGGTGATGGTCTGGATGACGTGAATCGCGAGGTAGAAAAAGGCGAAGCCGAAGCGAAGGTGGCTGAAGTGGCGAAGGTGACGGCGAAGAACTCAGGTATGAAAAAAGCGGAGAACCTATCAGAGACAGCAATAGTACAAGACGAGGCAGGGGCTAAGAAGGCTGAGGAGACGAAGTCTCTTGCAGAGGCTCTTGCTGGAACCAAAGCGCTAGGGGAGGCTATGGTGATAACAACGGTTGACAATTCAAAGATTTGCCGGCCATATGATGATAACGGCATGCTCCTAATCAAATTCAGAGACTCTATAGGCAGGAAATTCAGCTTCCCATGGCATCTATGTAAAATGTGGAAGGTAGGGTAACCTAGTTGCCATAGACATGTCTTATTTGAAACTATAACTAATTGGGTGTAGGACATGGATGAACTCATCCAGCAAGCGTTGCTCCATGTTGACGTGACTGGTGCCCAAGTACAACAAGGCCACTACGATCTAATCGGCCCAGATGGCGAGATAATTCTTCCCCAGGTATGGGAGACCCTCGTCCAGCCTGGCTGGACCATTACAATGCAAATGCGGCCAAGACCTAATCAAGCATTGCCTCCAGGCCGCCTGCGATCCCTACTAAAGACATACTTATCGTTTCCTTTCTATTCTTTCTTCATTTTTTTGATACCTTTTCTTTTTTGGTCTTTTATTCTTTTTCTTTGGGTGGGGGGAGATGTTGATTTACTGGCATTAAAGCACTTTAGTTCAGCACTGAGAACATGGATACGTGGTATATCCAGTGCTGGTGAAGGATGAATCCTTCATGTTTTGTGTATGCTGATGCGGATCGACCACTCCTTGCCAGTTAGCTGATGTGTAAGTTATTATGACGTGTGTCGATTAAGTGAGGTTGGGCTCATCTACTCCTACAGGGCCCCATTGAAGCATGCCAGTCGTGCTGTTGACCCTACGAACCTCGCTTTAGTATATTACTATACTGCCTTATCAGCGTCAAATACCATAGACCTAGGTCCCTGAGTGAAATATCTGCACGGCTCACCCTAACATCGCCTGTCTCAACAGCCGCAAAAGTATACTCCTCAAAAGACTTTCTAGCCCCCTTTTTCAAGCGGGTGGCGAGATGGGGCGAGATTCCTGTGTGTTTCAAGCATCGAATTTGATGGTGCCACGGTGACGGAAGTGACCCCCGGCGGAGGAAATCACGACAAACAGAGTGCAGCTCTCGTGGAGGCATTATTTAGGTTACCAAATCCAGTCCTTACCTGACGAGAGAATTTATTCATCATGTAGGCTCATGGACAGTGATAGCGGATAAAGAGCTGCATGAGATGGTAGTTCAGGACGTATTAGAACACCTCACTGACTTGGCTGTATTCGTGCCAGTAAGCATCTGCCTGCATTGGGTCATGGGCAAGGAGTCGTTCGTGTAGATGCCTTTTGTTCTGTTGCAGCGGCTGGATATGCTTCAGAGGCGGGAGGCTATTCTACACTTCCGAACCCTCTGGGGGATATTGAATCTACTGTGTTGTAGTACGTGGGTACGGTATCTGGTCTCTCTGGTGGAACCACCCCATTCGTATTATGGTAATAATTAGACAGTGGAAAGAGCCAGCATAGGTTGCAGGTGATGGAGACGCTCGAGAGGGTGCTTCGGGCCGAGCATCTAGACGCACTGGCCAGTGTGAATAATCTTGCAATTAGATAAAAGGGCTCAGACCGTATAGACGAAACCATTTTACTTGTGGAGAAATACCCCAAACTATTGAAATACGCCCTCGGCGCTCAGCATCCATACACAACATTGCTACAAACTCTCAATGGATCGAAGTTGAGGAACTCAGAAGAGCTCAAGCAAGGGAGCAAAAAGCTTTACAAACAAAGTAAACAAACAAACCAAAACTAGAGTAAAGCACAAATGACCTTTACAACAGAGCTAGGGACACACACCTCGCAGAAGCTCCACCAAACTATGAAACACAATGTACAAAGGCTAAAAGACTACACAGCTCCATGCCTGCACTACAAACAAGGGACCACCCCACTAAACTATTGAAAACGATAGACAAGCGAAAAGCTCACAAACTCCACATAACTTCTACGACCTGCACTACAAACGAGGTATAACCTTACTAAACTATTAAGAACAATAGACGAGCAAAAGGCTTACAAACTCTACATAGCTTCTATGGCCCTACCTACTACGTCAACAGATGCTACAGCTTCCACACTACGTTTAAAGCTGAGGGGGTGTGTAAGCCGGAAGGCTTAACCATAGGTTACTAGTCAGCTAAGGTCTTGGGGTCTATACCATTATATATATCATATAGCTCCTCGTATCCTCAGTAAACAATACACACACATTACACATCGCTTCTCTCATGACTAAGATCCATTCAGGGCTACAAGACCTATTTATGCTTAAAGGCGCATGCATAGGCTGCGAACAAGCTTCCCCAATCAGCACCCAATGCTAGGAGAAGAGAAGCTATGGTAGTTCAATTAGGGCGGATTTATCAACGTCTTGTTTTTGAGCTCCATCTCCACTCCCCGAACCGCTAGAATCCTTTTGGTGTGCCTGGAGCAGCTGAATGTCACCTGGATTTATGCTTTTCCCAACAATCTCGGCGACTGAAGGCTTTGTTGGTACCGCCGATAGCTCACTAAGGTTCTCAGGGTGTGTGCTCGATAGAACCTGACAATCCGTTTGCTGGTTGTCATCTTGCAGATTGGCACTCTGCTTTACATCCCCTCGCTTTCTGAAACGATAAAAAAATATCAAAAATGCGAGGGCGGCTAAGAGAATAACCCCTCCGGCGACTGAGACTCCGATTATAAGGCTCGTTTGGGGCCCTGATGATTGGGTAGTGGGTAGCGCAGTCGAGGAAGACAATCTTTCCCCAGTGCCCTGTAACTGAATTTTAATGCCCCAGGCATTGATTCCGTCACCGGGTCCAACGGAGCCTGTGGTCGCTTTTCCATTTGCAGTCCACACTAGCGAGGTCGATTCTCCGATTTTAGAAAAACAGTGTCGGGTCGTGTGAGAGTAGATGCCTGTTATTTTCGTGGGATGAGCATAGTAATTACTAGAAATGAACATTAGAACAGGAATTTCATTCTCCTAGTAACTTCGTGTGATGTACCTGGGGCAACAGGTAGCTTCAGTAATGACCCGAGATGAAACTGTTGATGTTTCCTGGGCTACAGCGGTGTAACCTATTGGACATACACCTGGAGAGTAAACCACATCTGGATACCAAGCCGATGGGAAACATCGCTCAGTAGCAGGAGGACCAAGGGAAAAGAAGAATTCCCCTGTGGGTCCAGGGGTATTCGATTGGAAGTAGATTTCCTTTGTACATTCGGGTGCGGGAGTGTATAGAGTAGTTAAAGGTGGTGGAACAGACATGTTGATAGTACGACAATGAAGGAAATTGGAAGGAATTCAAATCGATAACTAATCGCTATGTGAGGTAAATATAAAATATACATGTGATCACGCATTAAAAGAGACTTATGATAGTTCGCCGTTCTCAGACCTCCGCTAAGGCAGTCGTGTAATCTCGGCGACTTTAGCTCTACTAACTCTTCTTATGACAGTGTACACGGAGAGCTGAGGTGCTTGATTGGTGTCTAGCTCTGTGCATTGGGTGGCGTCTTGGCAAATAAGCGATCACGCATCCATGCATATTAGCCTCACCTTCCTCAGTGATTCATCCTTACAGCCCTGTCAGTCATGCCGACGTGACAACTTCCAAGGCACCATTCGCCTACGGACAACCGACTCGCTAGTAATTTGCACGCTACTCGTACATTCCGTTGTTGTTATTACATTTTGTCAGATCTCGCTTATCTGGAATGAGGCTAACGCACAAGTCAGGTTAAAACGAAGTATAAATATGCTAGGGCATTAAAGGAGGCCAATTATGCCGAGACCTCTCTGCCAAGAAAGTCGCGTAATTTCGGCGACCTCGGTTCTCCCTACTCTTTCAAGGCGCTATTTCGCCTACGAATAACGGACTCGCTACTCATACATCGCAGCGTAGCGATTGTCAGCGGAGTTTGCGGAACCATGTAAATAGCAAATTGCGCTTCAAACTACAGCAATTTCAGCGGCAAATTCGAGTGCTAATTGACTTCAAGATGGTTGCTACTAACAAGTATAGCATCCCAACCGTCGCAGCTATTGTTGTCCTCCACTCTGTAGTCCTCCGGTGGACTGAAACTAATGGGAAATTAGGCAAATGCAGTCTATACAGCGCTCAGCACCTCTGCGAGTGTATAATCGATCGAGCAGGGTCCGCCAACCTTCTGACCTCCTCAAACACCTCAAGGATGCCCATCGTGATGGCCGACTAGAGGGCTTCTGTAGCCTTACGATGGCAATATGACGAGGCAAGATGATGAGGGGAATGTGACCGCAACCGTATTGTTTGTTGTGTACAGTATGTAGCCTTGTATAATGTTGTGGGACGCCAAGTCCTCACTTGATTGGTTGACCTGATATCTGCCAGGCTCAGCTTCCATGGGAGCAGCTCGGTGGAGGGGCGATTGGTAGGGATGCCACAACTGACGATGATCACCAAGATCTCCCCTGGAGGCTTTAGTCGCTGTGAAAGGTGAATCTAGGCATTCGTATACCCTATTCGATAGCCTTTAGGGTGTCGCACAGGGAGGGGATCGTAAAGCGTGTGCCACCAACAAAACTCGACCTAATAGATGAGAACAAAGGTATGAGGGTGCTCTTCTGTGGGCTGGCACTCGGTAGGCTCCGCCTAGGGGCTACATTTGTGTTTGGCAACGAGATGAACATGGAGAGCGAATCTTACTAGAAACGGGAACAACGTCTCGCGCCTGTTAGCTCTGACACTTTCAACTATGCCTGCCCGCTCACGAACGAGTTTAAATTGGTGATGGTTTGAGGCGGCATCTGCGATGGATACGGAACTGACCCGTTCTATATATGGGAGAAAGATACTGAGTCAGAAGGCCAGGAACTACAATATCTAATTACCAAGGAGAACAAAGAGAATGAGGTAGTAATTCCATAAAGGTTACAGGTGAGGCGACCTGGAACTCATGAGCACCAAGTTCTTGCCGAGATCAACTTGATCGACTACCCTCTAGCAGACTTGTGAACAATTAAATTAATCTAATTCCAAATTTGCAATTTAATTACATTAGATAAGTCTAGATAAATATTGCAAGTATAATAGAATAATATAACGTACCTAACGGGTTGGCTGGCCACTTTTGCCAAGCCCCTACTAAAACTACCCTATTCTCTTGCAAAACAGCCTACTTTAGCCCTATATAGAGTAATACAACACAAGATATTATTTAGAGTTTACTTTTACTACTTACTTACATGTATATAAGTTATGCCTAGTCTAATTACACTACTTATATTACTTTTAACTTAGCTTACTTTCTTTAGCGCGCACTTGTGTCTTTAGCTTCTTCCTATTACTACGCGCTTTAAACTCCTTTAGAGCAGTTAAATAAGCCTTATTTTTAACTATTAAAGTTTTTTTTACTTAAATCTACTTTTTTTTATGTAATTTATGTTATGTAGTAGCCTTATTTACTACTTAAAGCTTTATAATCTTATAGCCTACTTTATTACATTAATGCCTTAGATAACTATTATCTACTTTTTATTACTTTACTATATTACTTTTAGCTATTTTTATTTTTCTAAAGCTATAATAACTGCTTTAGTTAATATTTAGCTTATTATAAAGCTTAACTTATTAAAGTTATACCTATTTTAATTTTAAATACTATACTTAGCTTTTATGTTAGCTACTAGGTAAAACTAGCCCTAGATAACTTTTAAATCTTTATAAAGTACTTTTTTATAATTATACTTATAATTAAACTTTATTATAAACTTAAAGCAGTGCTTAACCTACATACTAGGCTAGTTTAAGCTAACCTAGCCTAGATTACACTCTATAGGTAAGGAATTAGCTATATTAGCTATAGCTATAAGCTTAAAAAGAAATTTATGTATAATAAGCTTAAGTATATACTTAATAACTACTTTTTTTTTAAGCTTAGTTAGATTTCTTAATTTAAGCTAGCATTCTACTTATAAAGGCTGTCTAGCGCGTTAATTACTTAGTGTTGTGTAAAAGATATTATAGATAGCTATAGCGTGTTATAAGAAAAGTTTTAAGTCTTATTTAAAAGCCTAAAGAGTAAGCTGTATCTAACATTCTTTAGAAGATTTAATCTAGTATTATTGTTAAGGCATTATATAGATAGGTAGAGTTTAGTAGGGGCTTAGCAAAAGTAGCTAGCCAACCTGTGTGGCTGGCTAACCTGTTAGGTACGTTACTTATTTTTAGTAGCTAAAATTACTCTTTTATGCATTACTACTTTAGAACTCTTAAGTAGATATTATATTATAATAATAGTTAGTAATTAAAAGGGATTTATATAGAGCTTACACTAGTTTTTAAAAAGCTTAGCTTAATACTTTACTGTAGTTAAATTTTAAAGTATTTTACTGTTTTATATAGACTTTTTTATATCTAACGTTAGTTTATAAAGATAAGGTTAGTTATTTATTGTCTAATAAAATTTTAAAAGAATTCTTATAACGTACCTAACAGGTTGGCCGGCCACACGGGTTGGCCAGCTACTTTTGCTAAGCCCCTACTAAAACTACCCTATTCTCTCGCAAAACAGCCCACTTTAGCCCTGTATAAAGTAATATAACATAAGATATTATTTAGAGTCTACTTTTACTACTTACTTACACATACACAAGTTATGCCTAGTTTAATTACACTACCTGCATTGCCTTTAACTTAGCTTACTTTTTTTAGTGTGCACCTGCATCTTTAGCTTCTTTCTATTACTACACGCTCTAAACTCCTTTAGAGTAGTTAGGCAAGCCCTATTCTTAACTATTAAAGTCTTTTCTGCCTAAATCTGCTTTCTTTTATGTAATCTATGTTGTGTAGTAGCCTTATTTACTGCTTAAAGCTCTGTAATTTTATAGCCTACTTTATTATATTAATGCCCTAGATAACTATTATTTACTCTTTATTACCTTACTATATTACCTTTAGCTGTTTTTATCTCTTTAAAGCTGTAATAACTGCTCTAGTTAATATCTAGCCTATTATAAAGCTTAACTTGTTAAAGTTATACTTGTCTTTATTTTAGATACTATACTTAGCTTTTATGTTAGCTACTAGGTAAAACTAGCCCTAGATAACCTCTAGATCCTTATAAAGCACTTTTTTATAATTATACTTATAATTAAACTTTATTATAAACTTAGGGCAGTGCTTAACCTATATACTAGTTTAGTTTAAGCTAACTTGTCCTAGATTACGCTCTGTGGGCAATGTGACGGTCCTACGCAGAGAGCTCTGTCGCGCGTCACATGACGAGCTGCCCGTGCAGCCAATCAGGATATAGGGGGTGCGACTAGCGCAACGCTATTAGTTTGCTTAGCGCTAGTGTCCTTACTAGCACCTTAGCACTGCAAGCACTTCTTCTATAGAGCTGCTCTTAAAGCTTCCTTTTTTTTTTATCTTAGTGTAGCTAAAATAAAGCTAACCTACTCTGCCTTACTTTTTTAGCTTTATATAGTAGTAAAGATAGTACTTATTATTACATTACACTAAGATTATCTTATTTAGCTAGAGAATAGTAATATAATATCTAAGTTTACTATATAGTTAGCTTTAAAAGCTTAATCTACTAACTAACCTTTACTTAGACAGATTTGCTAGTATAACTAAGCTAAGCTTTAGTTTATTAATAATAGCTATCTGCTTTAAAGCCCTAGTTAGGCTAGGCAACTGTAAAAGTAACACTAAGTAATAATTAAATTATTATACTTTATTAAGAAGCTCTAAGCTAGGAGCGCTGCTGCTTTAGTTTAAATTAACTGTAGGGGGGGGCCTACTGTACTAACTACTACTGCAACAACGCGAAGAGAGCTGCAGGCTCTGTACAAACCTACGTACAAACCCACTACTAATTAACTATCAGCCCCACTGTCACTAGACCTGGGGCTTACACTACACTATACCTCTGCAGACTGCTAGACCTTAGAGTAAAAGAAAGGAGCTAAAAGCACTAGAATAAAAAAGCTATTAAAAATTAAAATACATATTAATCTTACTGCCTAGCCTACTAGTAACACCTATACGCCTAAACTAAGAATGCTGCTATGCTAGGCCTAGTTCTATGCTAATAATGTGTTTAAAAAGGACTACGCTATTAAGACTACACATGTGTGTGCTTAGTAAGCTAGAAAAGCACTATTACTTTAAATAAAAGCTATTACCTAAAGTACTACTAATTATAATTTAATTAGCCTTTACCTAGACCTACTAAACCTTATAGCTATAGATTACATAGTTATAGTAAATAAGCTACTATAGTAGTTATTAAAAGTATAAGCTTATTAAAACTATACTAATACTTTTACTAAAGTAGTTAACATAGCAGAAGCTAAGTAAGTAAAAGTTAGTAAAAAGCTATAAAAGCTTTAAAGCTTACTAAATAAAACTTTTAAACACTTAGCTAATTATAAAGATAAAGTTAAAAGATTTAAAGCTACTACTATACTAATATATAATTAATTATTTCTCTTAAATAAAGCTTATTAAGCGCTAAA